ATTATTATTCTTTATTATGGGCCAATAGTAAGCTCAAAAAAAAAAAAAAAAAAAAAAAAAAAAAAAAAAAAAAAAAGAGAGAGAGAGAGAGAGAGAGAGAGAGAACTAAATTTATCTTAAAATTGAAACCCTTAATCTATGCTAGCTGCAGCTGATAAACTCCTTTTATACTCAGAGACCGATTATTGAAAATGTACTTTCCTTTCATTAAAAAGGAAAAGTGAGAATGTCTTCTTTAAATATCTTTGCTATAGACGTAACCAAGGGGGAAAAATTTCAATACCTTTGCGTTTGACTGAGAAACGGGCTTAAAGCGGTTTACAGCCCGAAACCCTGCAACCGAATAAAAATATTTTAAAATTAGGGTAAAGATAAAAGACAAAACGGTTTCTTACGATTGCGTGTAAAAGATATTGAGGTTAGTGAATGTCTAAGTTTAGAGTAAAAGGCTTCACCCAAAAATAATAGCCAAAGTGAAATTCCCTGATATCTCATCATTTCCTATCAAAATTAGAGTGATTATTTAGAGAGAAGCTTGTTAGTGAGGATTAGGGATCGTGAGCGCGGCTTAAATTCGATAATTAGGTCTAATGAGGTTTCAAATGATGAAGCGATAAGACATTGGAAGCTTACAGGTATACTACTAGAATGATTTGATGTCATGAAAGATGTGAATCTGTTACGAACCAGCATCAAAATGACAAGTTATGGCTAGGAATCGTGAGTCTTTAGTCCAGTGTCCGGTGATAAGAAAACAAATTATTCGTAGAAAAAGGATAGCTTTGTAGTATCCATTAGTGTATCTTCCATTGCGCATCTAAAAGCGTGAATGTTTGGATGTAGTCATGACCCGTTTTGTACCCAAAGAGTGTACCGTATCATCTGTTTTATCGGTTCACTCTTGTTGATTGGTTTGAAGCCTCCATGAAAGAGGTGTTTAATTAATACCGATGTAGGAGCTATTTTTTAACGAAGCGAATCAATATTGCTTGCAAGCGACAAAGACCCGAGAATCTAATTATTTTTAATTTGAATATTTTATAATTCTATTATAGATTTATTATTAGATTTTTTATCTTAAATAGTTAAATAGTTAGTTAGATGTGCAGGTCCACATCAGCTATATAGCTGGCAGTTTTAAGACCTGCGGAAACAAATAAAGTTGTATGTGTGTACTGCAATAGTGACCACGAAGCAATGGCTCCAAGTCGATCGAGGTTAGACTTGAAGTGTTCTTACATTAACTGTATTTCATCAGGTCCAACCTCGACTTGAAACCATTGTTTTGTGGTCACTCAAGTGCATTCAAAAAATTCCACAATTATCATAATGCATCTAGACATTCGCTCAAATACTAAGAGTTAATCCTTTACAAAGTCAAAATCCTCGCCAAAAAACATGGCAGAAATAAGGAGGTTCAAGTCAGACTGAGTAGAATTTGGCTAATTCCTTGGCGATAGTATTAATGCGATCCCACGCTGAGAAAACAAGACGGCTAGAAATGAAATGGTATTTCAGTATATACTTGATTTGATCACTGAAAACCCATTTGAAAACCAGATTAAGGATTAGATATATACATTAAAGGATAAACAAGAGGTATTTTAATACCTCTTGTCTTATTCTTAAAAGGATAAGATATTGTTCAGCCTACCCCGAATTCATCATATGAACCTTTATTTCTTTTTCTACCTTGCACTGCGTTGCATTCCCAACCCCATTCCATTTCATTCTATTCTATTCTAAGCTTATATGCACACCCCAAAAGCTCAGCGTTCAAAAACGGAACGCAAATACTTGAAAATCAGGAATTCCTCTTCCAATAAATTTTTCATGCACCAATAAATAAATAATATCTTGAATGAACGACTTTGTACTGAAATGCTATATATATAGCATTCTTTGTAACTTCAGCTCGTACCGTACCATGACCGTATATTATAACATAGCTATAACTAAGTGTTGGATTGAGTGAAGCCTACAAAGACAAAAAGGAAGCCATTTCAGTGTTATGGCATGTTGCCTCGTGTACGTGGTCAGTTAAGTCAGTATTCTAAGTTTTGGACCTAACTAAAATAGGAATGACTCTTGGAAATATCTTAGTATTGCGAAGGATGCATGTGGGCACGAGGTGTTCCCAAGAACATGTAGTTTTTTAAGACTATTTTTACAGTATATTGTCCTTAATTGTGGTCTCAAAATATCAATGTTTTTCAGAACCCTGTCAGTTGGATCGCTACAGATGCGGTACAAAATGTATCCCTCTAAAATGGATCTGTGATGGCTACAACGACTGTGACGACAATCTCGACGAGAGAAACTGTCTACTAGCAAATCAGAACGCTACAACAGGCAAATGTAATCACCCAGAAAATGATGTCGATTTTGTATAAGCTGGAAGTGTACTCACAGCACAGTAGCACTCAAAAGGTTTTCCAATTTTAATTAATCGTTCAAAAAGGCAAACAAACCGAGAATGAAACCTTGATTAAAAAACTTTTCAATGAAATCTAACAAATCATACTTTTGCTTCTTAGGAATACAAATAATTAATCTCTGAAAAAATAAGTAAAGTAATAATCACGATATTATTTATAGAGAAACTACTCCGAGAAAACAAATGAAATGGGATTCAAAGCCAATACTTTGATAAGAAAGCCAATGATGTGTTGTGCGTACATTCTCTCCCAGCTTATGTCAAATCTATTCTTGCTTTTATAATTCTATGCAATTATTTATCAATATCGACTTCAGGGCTCAAAATACACGCACTCGCAATAATATAAAATGAGGTAGAGTTTTTTTCTCATGAAAAAGTTAATAAATTAAGAATGATCAAATACACTAAAAATGAGATCCCTTTTTTCAAAAATAAGACTTCATCTGCATTGGTTTTATTTTCATTTTCAAAATAGATCTAGCCTCACTATTGAACTAAATGCCTGCGTACAAGAAAATCTTAAAGTCCTTTTTTATTTCTCCTATTCTCTAAGTACGTGGAGGTAGGTGGCACTTAAACCAGTAATTTTTTTCTTAAGAAATGAACGAAACAAATAATATTTTTCCATACAGTTTTAAATATTTTCGTTAAAATTGAAAAAACAACCCTTGATTGCTGGCAGAGATTTGTAAAACGTATAATATTCCAAACATTTCTTGCACACATGTAGAGCAGACGCAAGAAACTCATAAGATGTTCCAGCAAAGGCTATCCACATCTGTACATTCGCTAGATAGATCGTAATCACCACATTTTTATTTAACATTTTATGATTAATAAAGTCCAAACTTTCAAGTTGCGTATAATCCTGTCTAAACTTGACATGTTTTTGTCTCGCTCCAATATTTAAAGTTCAAAAACCCCATTTAGTTTTCTTAAAAGACCATTTCATTATTCAAAGAATAAGTCTTTTTGTGACAGTTTTTCGCACGCCGACTTGATTTAACATCTTAACTTTTTCAGACCTGTTTATCGACGAAAACCTTTTATGAAACGTGATTTAATCTAATCTCTTTTTTACTGGGTTATTATTTTAACCTTCATCTTCTAAGGCTGGAAAGTTCAAATTCAGAATTCCAACATTTCATTTTTACCTTCGGTATCTATTTTTAGCCATATGTCTTTACTCAATTTTTTTCTTCTTCTTTGAAGTGACAAGCGCTAAAATTCAGGAAGCTGGCAACATTCTGGATGGCAGCCCAAGTGTGAGCACTTCTCCAGGTAATATCACATTCATTTACAAAACACCTATTTCTGAGCATCTGCTTAACGCAATGAACGTACTTCGTATTCACATAAGAGTCCATATTGAAGCTATTAATATTGTGGCTCTGTATGTGTATCTACTGAGACTAGTGCATCAACATTCAATCCATTTGTTTTTGATTCGGCTTCACTCATCGTCTAGACAGTTCTTTTGTTGATTTTTTTTTACTGGAGTATTCTAAGCGCTTTTTGTTGCTCAGCGGATTATTTCTATATTTCTGGAAAAAGCCTGGTATATTGTTGATTCCAGTTTCACGCTGCTAAATAAACACTCTAGGGCGCTGCTGGTTTTCCTGTGGTGGCCATTTCTGTGCGATTCTCGTGACGTCATCGATGTTGACGAACCTTCATTCTACTGAATACGATTCTCATAAGCTTTTTTTACGTGCTGAGAAAACTTATACTCCGGGGAGTTCTTGTCTTAGAAAGACGTAGAGCATGTCTCTCAATAATACCTTGTATTTTCGCAAGCATTCAGTATTGGATGTCAGTTGCCTCCGACATGCTGGTGGAAATTCACTTAAAGCTCTTGTTAAGGTTTTAAGCGGTGCCAACATGGCCGTCGCGTCTGTTTTATGATTTTACAGGAGCTAATTGGACATGAAATGCGTGCAAAGGACTTATTGGGATTTTCTAGAATAACGAAACCTAAATGAAAGGTTATTGCTGTAAAAATCATTTGAGTAATTTTTTTTAAATCAAAAAAGCTGAGATCGTACTTGATCTTGCCATTTTTCTGCCACATTTCAGGATGTTCTTCAAAGATGTTCTCATGTGACAAGGGCGACAAGTGCCTAAAGATGAGTTCGTTGTGTGACACTTTGCGTGACTGCAGCGACGGCAGCGACGAAGTAAACTGCCCCGCCAAATCCTCAGGTAGTGATCCACTTTTCGAAGAAAAACCCTGAGTCAATATTAAACAAAGTGTAATGTTCAATTCTTAATTCTTTTAAGGATGCGAGGTCAGCAAGTTTTCATGTGACAGTGGAGCCAAGTGTTTGCCAATGACATGGTTGTGTGACAGCATTGATGACTGTATTGATCGCAAAGATGAACACAATTGCCCGGTCACCAAAGGTACTACCCAACACCAAAAATAAAACTTAACATGATAATTGAGGTCTTTCACAAAATATTGGATTCATACGCGTGAAAACTGAAGTATTTTGGGAAAATCATCTTGTGGGTTGAAACTGAAAGAAAGCCTTGAGGATAAGAAGTATTAACCTTAAGCATTTTATTTTGGATTCATTGATAACAGGTGTATCAGTTGCTCAAGCAGCAGAAGCAGCCGCAATGACAGCGGCACAGGAAGCAAAGCGGGCAGCATTTGCTGCACAGGAGATGATGAAAAGCGCTAAAGAAGCGGCCGACAAGGCCAAACGAGCTAGACAAATCGCTGAAGCTGTCGAAACCTCTTAAGTACGAACACCCTCATATACGACCGGGTCGATTTACGAGGTTCAACCAATACAGTGACTCAAATATAGCGACTCTACCATGCAGTGAGACTAAGAATAGGATGGAGTGGAATGTAATTCTGCATGGTTTCTTTGAATGATATCAACAGATCGATCTTATCTTTCAAACAAGTGAACAATATGAAATCCATGCCTTCAAACTTCATAACCCGAAAAATCAGTTTATCTGCCATTTTAAGTTTCTAAATATGAAGAAACTATTATGCTGTTGTTTATATTTTTAGCTTTTATCTTTTCAAAATAATTCTGATTTTCAAAATAATTCCTCGGCGACCAAGCGCATTTTTGTTTAAGGCAAGTGTGCGGCGAGAGCAGAGGTGCTATAATTAATGGATTTTTTTATAGGTTTAAGCTCCTCAAACTTAATCGGGTTTAAACAAAATAGAATTGAAAAAAGAAACTTGATTAAAAGTAATAAGAACGATTAACGCATACAGTGGGGTTGAAAAACTGCGTTTCATAATCAATGATATAGTAATATTCGCCTAAAGAAAGAAGGAATTTTTTGGGGGAGAAAGATGCAAAATTAGATTAAGTTTGAGTTATCGACTTTGAGATTTTCTTTTAAGGGTGCCCGCCTTTTTTGGAGTACATGTCATTTTTCATGAATCCTAAAAGATTTTTTTCCTTTTAAGTAGACGGCGGCGGCCATTAGAATGTCGTTTATTGACATACTGGCAAGTTTACTAAGTAAACCCTCACATAGTCCCTTCCGAGAAACCAAAGTAGGCTGTTCCATTATTTTAGAATCAAGGAATAACTTTATTTTTAACATGACTAAGAATCAGTGTTTATTTTATCGAGAGAAAAAATCATGAGTCACGTTATCTCTTTTTGTCCTTCCAGCTATCTTTTTCTTATTGGTGCATTTTAAGGAAATATTTCGAGCTTCCCGAAATGATTTGCCGTATCTAAATGAAGAAATCATAAAAAATTAAGCTCGATAAGGGAAGGTGATGTTGCACGATTCTTGATGTACTGGAGATTTCAGATGGGATCTTTTTAATGATTTTATTTGAACATTTGATCCAGGAATCAGTCTGTAAAATGCATTAAAAAAAGCTATTTGCGACAGGTCCTCGACTTTGAGTTGCCAGCAAGAAATTTAAACTAGAAAAATGATAATAAATCGCGTAACGAGGACGATTTTTTACCTAGGGGACTACCCTAGCCTTTTTAATTGTCGCCTTTTTATTTCTAACGAAATATTATGATGACCGTTTAAATCCTAGTCAAAAACTATTAACGGAAAGCTTAATCAAGGCTTTAATTGCAAACTCACACATTTTTGATTCATTGCATTTAAATCCATCGCTAAAGAACTTCAAAAACCGAATCGCGAGGAGTTTTTTTTAGCGAGACTCGATATTAATGCAAATATTTAACGTCTCGGTAAAGTCTTCAAATAAAAGCCAGTCTACGAGTGCGTTGACAAGATATCAGGATAAAAATAATAATTTTGTGTTAAGCCCAAGTTAGCTAATGTGAAGGTTTTGTGTGTGTGTTGTTTTTTGTGTGTTCTCTCTAGATCACACCGCTGGTTGACAAACAGCAACAAAAACAAACAGAGTTAAAAGGACTTCGCACATGAATCAACATCAATCGTAAACCCTACTGAGGGGATTTGGAACATCTATCGCTGCATAGCCTCTTTGGAGCTTCCGTTCAAATTTTATCAAACTAGCTATTATCAGCTTCGCTTTGACTGTTACGAGTGCATTAAAACAACTGTAAATCTATTTGCTTAAATGAAGGGAAATAAGTACGTAATAAATGCGGAACTTTGTCCTTCTGAGGAGAAGCGAAATAATGAAAAAAGTGCAAAAACCTATTAAAAAGAGCAGCACGAATGAAGTGCAACAGCCACTGATGTAAGGTAGAAAAATAAAAAAATAAAAAAATAGTGCAACAAAGCCAATAACATGCAAAACCCAATAAAGTGAAAAACCCAATAAGAAGCAAAGACCCAATAAAGTGCAAAAATCAAATAGGAAAAACCCAGTAAGGAACAAAACCCAATGAAATGCAAAAATCCACTAGTAAGCAACAAAACCCAATAAAGTGCAGAAATCCAGTAAGGAAAAAACCCAACAAAGTGCAAAAATTCAGTAAAAATGAAATCCAATCGGTAAAGTGTAACAACCAAGAAGGAACAAAACCTTATAAATGCAAAGCCCAATAACAAAAGTTAAGAATGCAATAAAGTCAGTAAAAACCCAGTGAATTGCAAACCCCTAAAAATATTTTCAAAAAATAAAAAGTAGTACAAAAACAAAACGTATAACTGAAGTGCAACCATGACAAATCTAATATTTCGAGTCCAAAATCCAAAATGACCAAGTATTTAAAACCTTAAAAGCCTTTTTTTCCAACTCCATCGTTTTCAGAACGGATATCAGTAGGTATTCACTTTAGTTCTAAAAACGCCAGAAATATTTTCCATAATTACCACTGACTTTCCTCATTGTCAAGCATAATATAAAATATATAGAATTAAGATACCACATAGAATGGAAGACTTTTAGCATAGTTTCGTGTAAAACCCATTTCTATATTGTTGATTAGACGAATCATGTGGATTAAGTAATAAAAAGCCTAGAGGGGGAAAAGAAAAAAAAATGGTTTGTTTAGTCGAACACTCACGTATTCAGGGAGCATCGCACTCGGATGAAAATAGCCCTAGAATGATTTCCTGCCTTTCGATAAACAAAATTGCTAACGACAATAAAAACAAAACATAACCGTTGTGAAATTTCTCTGGCTCCCTCGCTTGTGTATCCAAGGGGAACAAAGGGCTTCGCTTGCCGTTTTCTAGATATTTCTTATCGAGTTGCAATATCCTATTTTGTACAACAAATGTATATCTATACAAACAGAATTACATGTCACCGTTTCTGTATGTAAGCTTATTACTGATGGACTGATAGCTATAGAGAAAAATAGTGTTTCTTTATACTATACTCGATCTATATTTACATATTAGGCTTACTAGCTAGCTAGCTAGCTACTGGAGATCCCTTTAGAGGGAAATCGAAAATAGAAAAGAAATACCAGTTGTTTAAATGAAACACCATATACAAGTACTTAGCGACTAAACAGCCTTTTCACAGTTCGAAGCCGTTAAAACGCTATTTAAGATTTAGATATACTAATCTAATAAATTCCTTGAGCAGTAATAAAAAACTGAATTTCGAGTTTGAAACCCCTGCCGTTTTAATTTGCAGGAATTTGTTTATATTTGCGGAGATACAGACGGTTGAAACCTACTATAAGACAATCAGTAACTCGCAATTCTTAATGTTTGTTAAATAAACCAAACATTCTTTAAAATCAATATATTGTGAAAACATTCTCTTCTAAAAGCAATTTAATAGCTTTAAGATAGAGTGTCTAAGCCCTACCTTCCCTTTGACTTGAAATCTAAACAAACACAACAATATTAAAATGGTTTATAGTTATTTCAATTTTATTTAGCTGCCTTTCGTTTTCACGCCTCACAGCTGCCATTATTTTGAAACTGCAGTAACAATACACTACTTAACCGTAGAGTTTCTTTACAATTTACATTAAGTAGCTCAACACACGGCAATTCATTAACTGACTTCGCATGTTTGACTTGCGCTGGAAAAAAAAAATTCATACAAACTCTAGCTTCCCCTCTAGAATATTCTAAAAAGGTAGTTAAAAAAACTCCAAAATATAGTAGCGGTAATTTGAATTACAATCATTAAAAGGAAATGTGATAAGAGTCATAATACTAAAGATTGTTTGAGGAAGTAACGAGCGAGGGCTATGTTTGACCGGGTCTTTCTTAAGTAAAGGGGTTTTCCAACGAAACGTGGAAGGCTAGATATAAGATGTGCTTTCATGATTGATATGATTCATGTATCTGATAGGAATTTATCAATTACTGCCGTTGCCTTGGGGATAATCAAAGCCTTTCTGGAATCACCTAATGATTTTTTTCGAAATTGCTTAAATAAGGTTATCTTTTCTTTGGAAATAAATGCTGCTCTCATTTTAAGCTTTTCGAGTCCACGATGTGTAAGTTGGACATTTCTGCTCATGCTCAAAAAGCGACGATAGACGTCCACTTGATGGCAACATCCAATCACAAGCAAGGAAACATTCTATCTCGAATGCTAGATATACAAAGCAATCCACCTTGGCTATTACTCGCTAAATTTTATCTCGCATTTACGGGGAACTCCAAAATTATTCAGCGTGAAATACCAAGACCGGAAAAGATGTTTAATTAAGATGGTATTTCAAAGAATGTGTCAAAGGTAAATGCTTTGAAATTCAAATTGGTAGATCCATTCAGCGAAGCAACACGGACTAAAAGGGTGACGTCGGCAGGCTGGCATGAAAAGAGCCAAACAGAGTTAAAGTTCTTTATTTTCCAAGAGACAGGGACTAAGGAAGTCACGCGGAGAAAATATCCGAGAAAGATTATAAAAGGACTTCATCAAGACATAATCTATTCAGATTGAGAGAACGTAACGAAAGACGACACCAATCGCTGAAATCTATCGCTCTATACTTTTAGTGTTCTAGAACTGATGTAGAGAGTGAGCGAAGAAATCACTGACAAACGTTTTGTTACCTGCATGAAGAAAACAGAAAGAGAAAGCGTTGGTGGACGGACGTGAGATGGATCTATGGTCTTGGTCTGATAAGTCAGCATTTTGACAAGCGGCTCACACACCACTAGGAAGGGATTTTCAAGAAAGATCTTCAACACGGCGCGTGTCGTCACATCTCTAAGTCAGTGTTAATGAACTCGAGTGTGTACATGTTTTTATGTATTTTTAATCCGCCTTGCTCTTGGAGACTCTCGACCAACAAGATCACGGATATAACAAATCCCCAAGATGACGACTGCATTGTCAAAAAAAGACATTCCGTTGTTAATGATTTCCATTATTGCTGTTGTAGCTAATCTTTTCGTCTGTGTCCTCGTCTTCGCCAAGAGACGACTGCGTACCCGTACTAATAAATTCGTCGTCTCATTGGCTATATCAGACATTCTGATCGCAGGCATTTTACTCCCGATATGCCTTGCGCAGGTCAACCCGACTGTCATCGCCTATATGGGTTCCATCACCCTTTTGGCTGGGGTAGCTAACATCAGTGTTGTTACAATAGATCGCTACATTGCTGTGTTTAAACCGTTCAGATACAGCGAGATAATGCGCCTCTGGTTCGCTAAGATCATTGTTCTCGCCTGGTCATTAAGTATTGCTGTTTCTCTTATTCCGCTCTTCTGGAACACAGACCCGACGACAACGGCACATCGCGTCTACATCTACACAGCGCAAATTGGCCTTGTCGTCTTCTCCTATGTCTTAATATTTGTTGCGTATATCAGAATCTTCCGTAAAGTCCACCAGACCGTCAAAAAAGAGAGAATCTTAATGCTATCTTTAGCAAAATCTCATGGGCAGGAATTCGAAAATAATTCAAGGGCGTCACCAAGCTCCTCCGAGTCGAAAGTTGCGCGAGTTTCTATCATAATCGCAGCCAATTTTATGCTGACATGGCTGCCAGTGGAATACATGACTTTCATGGGTAACCTAGGAAAGGAAGAGTATATCCCGGAATCCTTGTCTAGCATCTCTTTTTACACCATTGCCTTGGGTGCACTGATCGATCCCATGGTTTATTCTTACCTCAAGTCCGACTTTAGACAAGCCATCAAGAGTTTATTTGTAAAGCGGTCCCGAGAAAACGAGATGAGTAGCACGCAAGGGTTTCTGGGACAGACAAGACGGCTGGAAAGTGGACAACGATCTACACTCATATAAAAAACGATGGACATACGATACTTGGAGTATTCCCTTATAAAAAACAGGATAACGAGTCATTAAACAGCTAACGGCAAAATGTAGATATTAAAGCTTTAAAGCCAAATTACTAAATCGCAATTTTGACTGCGCTCCAATCATAGTAAAAATCGATCACTTCGGTCTACTGTTCTACCGTCTATACTATCTCTCCCCCAGGCCAATACAGATAAGTATAAATTACTTTCCTTAGAAACTATAGGCCGGAAACGATACAATACGAAATGGTAGATTTTTTTCTTCTGCTAGAGACTGTGGAACAAAAATATGTTTTTTTCTAAGACAGAACGGGTAAAATAAATAAGAATGTGAATTTTGGATTCGTGATGCGAGTTGAGAGGAGAACAAATATGTCCCTGATAACAACTGTTTTTCAAGTGTGCGTCTGTGCGATCTTAATGGGTTTATTGCTATCCATGTAGACTGAAATGTCCCCAGGTCATGCACACATCGTTTTCACACTAAAAGTAAAGAGGTGAAAATATTAAACTTCGAGTTTATGGATTTTAAAAAGACAATAAAGAATCTTACAATATGAATATCTTGTTGAGGAAGTCATGCTGAGATGAGATGCTTGCTAAAACACTTGACCGAACCCTTCAGCAGTATTTAAATTGCTGTTAAAGCTGTTAAACTCAGGGCAAATAAAACAAAATTTAATCAAATGAAATAAAATATTCTCCGTGATCTTTGACGCCGTATAATTTTAAGTTCTTGAAGTTGTTTTTAGCTATAAAAATTACATAGTAATTACGTAGTAAGAAACCTTTTTAACTGAGTTTACGTGAGGATCGTGACGCAATGAGGGCTTGTAGAAAAAGAAATTCCTGAGGATTTATTGTGAATTCTACGACTAGATTGGAGTAAGTAAAGAAAGGACACCCAAGGTGTTTTACGACATACAAGCAAAGAGCTTTAGCCAAAGCCATAACACTAGACTTCGAGAGAGAATTAACCTAGGGCGTGGTAATAAGATCCACTTTGACATGGTTTTGCCGAGAAATGATTAAGGGACATGTAAAAAACCCACAAAATGCAGGGCGTAAACCGCATGTCAGTAGGAAAGAATGAAGTTAGAAACGACAAAAACAATAAGAAAAGAACACTATAATTTCTCATCGTTGAGGGATAACACAACTCTATTCTACTTGCGAAGCGGCGGGTGCCAGATCCAGCTACCTCTCACGATCTTGTGTCCCATACCCCCATGTGTAAATGATAAGATGGACGAATATTGTTCTAGTTAATGGACTCAGACGCAGCTTGAAACCACATCAGTCTACTCAGCCCGCAAACCGCTAATGCGTTTTAGTGCTTGATTCTTATGGGGTTATAGAATGCTCAATTACCTCAAGTGACCACAGCTAATGCGTCAAATGCGTAAGGAGTCAGTTATGATTTCATTGAGCCTGGTAGTTAGGCATGCGCACTTTCAGAGAAACCGGCTTTTGAGAAGTGAAGCTATAAAGTAGGGTCAGTAAAAGAAATATCTGAGGATTTATTGTGGATTCTACTAGTTTGGAGTAAGTAAAGAAAGGGCACCCAAGGTGTTTCAAGGCATACTAGCTAAGAGCTTTAGCCAAAGACACAACGCTAAGTTTTGAGAGAGAATTAACCTAGGGCGTGGTCATGATAAGACATGATATCTTGACAGTTTTGGAGTGTGGAGTGAGTGCTGACAGAAACGATTCCATGCGCATGCGCAAAGTTTAGACCTACTTAAAAGTACTGAAGCTATAAGATAATTGCAGATCGGTCAGTGTCGAAGGGTGTGTACAGAAATGATCCCATGCGCTGCGCACAGTTTAGAGGAACTTTAAAGATAACAGCTTAAAAGGTGACTGAAGACATTTAGTTATGACGGTCAATATCTGAAAATGATACAATGCGCATGCGCACTTTGATGAAGCGTCGAAATTTTGACCTCTTGCAGTTTCGTGACAAAAAGAGAATATATCTGTCAAGTCATCAATCCGAAGTGAAATATTGAAGCAAGAGCATTTGATGGGAATCTTTATACCCTTGCTATGGAGTAGAGAGCTTAGATAAAGAAATACTTAGCTTAGAAAGAGCACAAACTTCTAAGTTCAAGAGAACAACAATAATTATCAATATTCAATAAGATATAACAGTCTAATGGTCATGATTAAGATCGAGCGAAAGTGGGGTTATACACTGTCTAATATGACTGCTATACGGGCCAATATCTTATCATTCAGATGACAAAGTTTTACGACCATAATTAAGAGCCCTAGGATAAAGGGTGCCTGTGTATCAGATAATCAATTCTTTAGATAAGTGGTTTGTTTTGATAACTCTTCAACAACTTCACAAGAAACGACTTGATTGTATATCATAACCGGCCCAGAGATTGACTATTTCAACCAGATAATGATTCCATTAGTAGATTTTACGGTCTTTTGAAAGGGCTTCACATTGCACTCTTCTACTAATGACCCATTATAACTCTTTGGAAAACGAGTCTCCAAGGCAACAGCGACTGAAGAAGGGAAGGAAGGAAAAAGCGGAAACATGGCTAAGATGTACCGGCATTGTACAAATAGATGATGAATTCTTTGTAAGGTAAATCTTAAAAACTCTTTAAAAAAATTCAGTTTCCAAGACAAAAGAGTTCGAAATTCAAGAAGGAAAAATATCTTTTGACATTTATTGTCGGAAAATCAGTCAAACAAATGTAATGCGATATAGTTTCTTCAGTTTCTCAAGACAGATTGTCAGAATTGGTCACACCGCGACTTCAAGTGAGTGGGGTCTTCTCATTGTTTGAACAAGTGGGAGCTAAAAAAAAGATCTAATATTTGAACCAAACTTACATCCTATTCTTGGCAATAACCTCTTATCGATATCAATCAATACTAGAAGAAAATCTGGCTCTCGCTCCGTTGCCATGACGACGAATATTTTACAAATGCGCGCTATGAATTATGGGATAAATTGAAACAAGGTGTTTCTTTGGGTATACGATTTCAACTAATATGACCTAATGTAAAATATATAGCAAGACATTTTCGTTTAAGTATATGATATCGATATTGTCCGGAAAACGTAGTTAGGACTTAATAAGTTTTATTTAAAGTGATTGCGTGGGTTAAATTTCCGTACATTTTATAATTATTAATATTTTATTTTGTTTTTTTGAAATCCATCTTTTTTCTCTAAAAGTAATATGCTATTATTGTTTTATACATTCTATGTATTAATAATATTAGAATAATATTATTGATTAATTTTTTTTTGAAGACGTATACTTTTTTAGACTATTTTTAACCTGTCTATCGTGATGACTGTTTATGGAGTACTTTTATATTATCTTAGAAATTAAGAATGTGATTGTGTGACTGGGCTTAATTCCTGGCGAAAAGAAACCGTGAGAGGGTTGAACTCGAATTTAGACCACAGGAATCCCAAATATAATAAATAGGAATTCCATGACTATCTCTTTGGAGTGTAAAAAAGCGCGTGGATAAAACACATTTAAGTGTCTGACAAGTAAAAAGGAACAATATGATATTAGTTTGGCGATACGTGTCTAACATACAATATCTGACCTGACCTTATAGCTTGTCTAATTCTATCTTTAGCTCTTCCACAGCATTGCGCATGCGCCGCTCTTCCTCGGGTTCAATACACTGCTGCAGCCAATCAGAGACTTGCTTTAGAATAGCTTCCTTTTGTAATTTGAAGTGAGTGAGTATGACATCTTCTAGCCCTTCAATATCAAAAATAAACATTTTACTTGTTAATGGGAAGTTTGTATTGCTATAGGCGCCAAAGCTCCTGCACAAATGCGGGATCTCAACAACTAAATGGCGACTTCTCGATAAAAACGCCAGAAAAACCTTGCATCTAGAGCAATGATCAAGTTAGCGGCATCCTGTCACCTGGATATACGAACCTCTTTGCTATAACAAGCCAACATTGAAAGTGTAAAAATACGAATTTTAATGGCGCACAGTTTACCAATAACAGATGATTACGGTTGTTAGCTATTTCGGCATTTTTTTCGAAGTGTCGACCCGTTAGTCTCGCTTTTATGACTTTAAAAACAAAAGGATATTTAAAGGATCTACTGGTAAAAGATCTACTGGTACCGCAAGCCTCAAACTGCAGTTCGACTTCAGGCGTTTTCCGTCAAACTTTTGACATTTAGCAAGGCGTCATAAGTTGTTGCTGAAATAGCCTCCATATTGAATTTCATTGATGCCTAGCGTTTCTCCGTGTTTGCGAGCGTGTTCTGGGCCTAATCCCTAGCAGTAAGAGGCTAGCGGTAAACCTGATGCTAAAGATCTCTAATATTCATGTGTCTTCTCATGCGCAACAATTAAACAAAGAAATGATACTCTAGGAAATGACACGTAGTCTGAAAAGGGAAAACATTGCACGAATACAGCCTATAATTTTCTGATTCGTCGTTTTAAGGTTTGATGTATTTACAGTCCACCAAAATCAATGATTAATAAACCGTGCTTGGTAATCCTGTCATGCTTATTGCGCATGCGTAACCTGTACTCAACTGCAATCACATACCTGCAGGAGGCTGGCGCAACTGTGCTACCATCGCATGTCGTACGGTCAGTAGACGAATCTTGGCGTTAGAACGACGAGACAAGTCCTGTAGTATAAAGCGCAAATTACTTAACAATAAAAAGGCGAAGATTGCATCTTATTACTACAACTACCAGAATCCCTTGCACATTTTTTATCTTATCTAGATTTTTATTCCCTTATGAGCATATCAAGACTGGCGTTGCGCAAATTTCAAGGACAGATTTATTCTAGGCGGGGCAAGCAGTGCAAAAATTAGACACTGTGATACAGAGGAGATTTGGCGTGAAAAGTCATGTCATAGGCGCCTTCACGGTGCAGAATTAATGAAATCCACTGAACCAATTGCAGAGCGTGACATAAATGTTCATCCAGTAGAAATGGTCAGAACCGTCACCTCCCGTCACGGCACGTCACTTCATCTCCCGTCACATCGAGTCTCGTCAGTACAGCGAGTGTTTTCAGAGACACAGGTATTTTGATATGTAACATCTCAGTACTTACGTCGCCTTCGTCAGTTCCACGTATCCCTTCATAACCAGGCTCATTGAAACAAGGATCAGGAATTAAAATCATCCCTTGTATCGATAACAAAACCTATATATATATATATAAACAATAATACGAATAAATATTAATAATAATAATAATAATAATAACAATAATAATAATAAATATATCATTTTGTCTTGGTTTTTTCTGGGCGCTGTTCTAGAGTTTTTCTGGTTTTTTTTCTTATTTCTTATTTCTTTACTTATTACTGACACGTAAGGATAACTGATATGGTTTTCTCGAGAACAAGAGTTGTAGCGCCCTTTCTATTTGATATTGATTTTTTTCTTCAACAAAACGGAAAGAAAAGTTAAGAGGGAAAATGGAAAAAAATAAATGAATAAAAGGAACCGAAACAAAATCGACAGCATAACAAACCATTATCCAATTTTTTTACTAGACAGTCAGAGACAGAATGGTGATTGATATTGAGAAGACAAAGAAGGAAGACGCTCGTTAGAAGATCTAGAAACTCTTACGTCACAGAGGAAAAAAGGGAGAAAAACTTTGAATAATTAAAGTAATAAACGAAGGAATGATGAAAGAAAATGGAGGAAGGAAGAAAGAAAGGAAAGAAGACGTTCTTTAGATGATCTAGAAACTCTTACGTTACAGAGAAAAAAGGGAGAAAATCTTTGAAATAATTAAAGAAATAAACTACGGAGAAATAATTTTAAAAAATCGAGGAACCAGAGAGAAAAAAAAGGGGAAAAAGAAATATCATGTACATAAAAATGAGGAAAGAAAAACGAAAGTCGAAGACGTTGGAAACATAATTATCTAATCTTCTCTCAGAGACTAAATAAGAGACAAAGAGCAGTTGACATAAAGACGGCTGGCTGGATATTGTAACGCTCTACCAGACAGAGATACACTGTACTGACAGACAGTTGTGGACTGATGATATATTATAACCCTGGTTATCTTGATAGCCACCACAAGCGAACAAAGATCAATCATAATGGAGTATTGGTATCTGCATAGGAAAACCGTTATTACCAGGTAATACAGTCAAGGTAGTAGTAGTGGTAGTGGTAGTGGT